GGCTCTCTCCTTCTTTAGCCTTAAACTCTTCATATGCAGAAATACAGTTTGTGATTTTTAACTGAGTTCCCACCTTGGAACCCATCATCATTTTCTCTATCTGCATCCACATGCTATGACTAAAAGTTTTGTGACTGTCAATGCTTGTTTAAATGTCATTGGTCAATGCTTGCATCATATATGACTTGCACAATACATCAGCATGTGCTCTCTCTTTTTCTTCAGCAGTGTATCTGGACTTCTCTTTGATTACTCTTTGAGCAGGTATGCCTTCATCAGGGATGGCAGGTGTTTCTCTCCAGAATACTGCAGGTCCTTCCATCAGAGATTCCATGATCAGCTCACCTTCTTTCATTCTTTCAATAAAGTTTTGAAATCTATCTCTCCACTGGTTGTAATCTCTTCTGAATAAGAACCGGTCGCTTGGTATCAGTACCAATAGCCATTGTTTTTTTTGAACTCATTTTCTCCGATTAATATGATATCGGATCTTCTGCAGTTCAAAATTTGATTTAAAGGATTAAAATTCAAGAATTATCTCTATAAATCGCACAGAGGAATTTGCACACACATTCGAGACTTAGAAAATTTAAGCACAAAGACTTATCCGGATTAAAAGTCCGGACAAGCTTATCCGGATTAGATATCCGGACAACAAAGATAGTCAAGATTCTAATCAAAAAACTGTTTATCCGGATTAGATATCCGGACAACAAAGATAACCAAGCTCGCACATATCACAATATATCCGAATGAGAAATCCGGTGAATTCAAACACTTAGTCAAATTTTGCACATTTAACAAAATTGAATACGGACACAAAAAGTCAACAAGTCAAACTAGTCAACAAGTCAAACAAGATGAAATCCGCACAATTAATATCCGATCAATTAACAGTAAAAAATTCAATTCGCTCAATAAAAGTCAAACAATTCAATCCGCTTGATAAAAGTCAAACAATTCAATCCGCTTGTCAAAGAAAGTCAAAGTTTACAATCTGCACAAAAAGTCAAAGTCAAAAATACGATCAAGATTTAAATCGCATACAACACAAGATTAAATCGCACACTTAAATCGCACAGGTTACAATCCGATTATCACTTAATTGGACAATGTGTAATCGATTTACCACTAAATCGCTCAATGTAATACCCGATATACCACTAAATCGCTCAATGTAATACCCGATATACCACTAAATCGCACAATCAAGAATTCACACAGAATGTCCAAGTCTTAAATCGTACAAAGCAATAAGTGGCTTATACTAAATCGATCAAGAGTTATACGAATAAAATTCAACCACAAACACAATTTTAACAATTTTTCACCAAAAATTTGGATCAAAACACGAAAAAATTATGAGTTTTTGAATAACAATAACTTTTTCGTAAACTCAAAAATCACTCAAAATCGATTCAAAACTTGATTAAAATCCAAAATGATGTGAATCAAAGATGTTCAGAATGAAAATGCGAATCTAGTAGTGCAAATTTTAACAATTAACACTAAGAATTGATGAGATTAGAGTAGAAAATGTGCAATCCGATCAAGTACACTCAAGAACAGGCGATGAACACTCAAGAACAGTTCTTAAAATCCACTAAATTCGTACAAAATTCCTCGAAAAATTTGTAATCCTTCTATCAAATTGTTGCAATCTGAGCTCTGATATCAATTGATAATCCCAAAATCATATACAATCAGATTAATCCTTCAAGAATAGATTTGAGATGAGTAGAGAGAGATTTTTCACCAAAGTTGAATATGATATTTCTTGAGAGAGTTTTTAAAAGAATGATTAACAACTAATCTGAACTTAACTGAACTAATTACAATTAACAAGCTAAAGACTATTTATACTAGGAAAATAACAAGACTAAATATTACAAAGCAATTATAAAATGGGAGAACTTGAATACAACAATTAAGCACATTGTTGAACCCAACAGAAAATGACGATGATGCATATGTGATTTATGTTGTCACTTGCATGAGATGTATGTTGCATGTCACGATGAGATTTGCATTAATAAGTTAGTATTGCAAATAAATGATATGCAACTAGTATGATTCGGCAAGATTCGTCCATCGTATGGGGTGGATTAGACATGAAAGGAGGGCTTGCAATTCCGAGGTCTTGGAGTCCTCGTCCATAGAATACGCCACATACGCAAAGAAAAGTGACGAGTCGATGCCTCACTTGCAAGATAATAACTAAAATATACTAAATTTATATGTGCATGTGATCATGAAACCATATTGTATTCACTAAGCTTTTAGCTTATACTATATATGAATATATCTCAGGTATCAATTGTCAGTAGACGCGTTGAATGAAGAAAGAGGAAACTATGTTTTGAATCATGCTTGATTAGATATTTAATTAGCATTGATTACGTTAAAGTATTTTACGCTTCCGCAATTATGTAACGAATTATGTTAAACATATTATGTATGTTTGAATTTTTAAATACGTATTTTGTTCATGGCATAAGTTATTAAGAATGACGTCACGACACTCGAATGAAAGAAGAAAAAAAATTGGGGCGTGACAAGTTGGTATCAGAGCCGTAGTTTAAGTGAACGAAGTTATTATTAGCTTAGACTTAAACTAAGAATTAGATGATGAGAGCCTGTGAATGATATTATATAATCTTTAGTCATGAAACTCTTAGTCAAAGTGAATTATGAAATTGCTAATTTTCCACTCCTAGGACTAAGAAATGAATCTACCTAAGTTTGATTACTACTTATTTTCTAGTCGATATAACCATATGAAGTGATATATAGAAATGTATGATTGGTTAAGTTGTGGACCTCCGAAAGGCTACATAGGGCAACAAAAGAATTCTAACCTTTAACATACCGGTTTGATCATTTTTTATTGGTAGTCGAACGGATTAATAAGAAGTGTTTGACTTAAGTACCTACACAGTCATTAAGTAATCATGAGTTTGTACTTAGTTATTGTCTTAAGTTTCTTTGATGATTTAGGGTGCCTAGATAAGAGTTAACCAACAATCCTATACATTCGTATAGTAACTATTATAAGCCGATGAAAAGTTAGAAGGGGGATAAGTGACAACTAAAATTTGGAGATAGAAAGTTTCAAGGACTCAGAATGAAGTACACATGTTAAGGATTATGAGCATTAAAAAAAATGAGAAATATGTTTTAACCCTATCACTTTGTGATTGGTATTTGGTATAAATTATTAGGAACGCCCTATGTGATACTTGCATTAAATAATTTTGTTACATGCAAAATTGGTGATAAAGTTACATGTATTATATGTATGTATGGCTCGTATATCTTTATAGTGGGAAGGTTAGTGATGGGATGAGTCCCAACCATCAAGTGAGGAAGAAAAATTCGTGAAGTTTGCTTTTTGTGCATAGTGAAATTTTATAATAAGAATAAAATAGTGTGCATAGGTATACTAAAGGTCAAAATGTTCATTATTATAGAATGTCGAAGAGAGTGACAAGGTCAATGAATGCTAATGGTCATGAAGATAACAGAGTCGAGGGAGTGACCTCAACCCCAACCCGAAGCCGAAGTGGTCCTAGTAGATTACCGATTCAGCCTACACAGTTAGAAGTGAACATTGCCGAAGAGATGGCACGTTGTATACACACTGCTTTACCTGGAATGCTTGAGCAGATCCAAACTGCAACACTTAAGATGGTAGAAGATCGTTTGAAGCATAATAGACGTTCAAAAAATGAAACTTATGAAATTAAGGAGTCGACTAATAATGAATCTCACAATCATGAGAAGTCGAACGGGGAGGCACACTCAAACTATAAAGAAGTTAAGAAACTTGATAACAAATGATGTAGTTACAAATCCTTCACTAGCACCCGTCCTTCTATTTTCGAGGGAAAAAATGGGCCTCTAGTAGCTATGAACTAGTTAGACGAGATAGAAAGTTGCTTCCTGACTTGTCATTATGCACCTAGTGACATGGCACAATTTGCATCAACTATGTTTAAGTCAAATGCACTACATTGGTGGAAATCAGTTCGTGCCACTAGGGGATTGGCAAACACTGCATCTCTCTCTTGAGATGAGTTTAAGGGATTAATGAGTGAGATGTATTTCTCTCCACTCCAGATGAGGATATTAGAAAGTGAGTTTTTATGTTTAGAGCAAGGAAGTATGACTGTAGAGAAATATGTAGAGACTTTTATAGAGAAATCTCGATTTACWGAACATCAAGTCGTTCCCGAGAGGAGAAAGGTAGATCGATTTGTTGATGGACTAAAAAGGGACATTAGGAGATTGGTGGGAATGTCAAAACCTAAGACTTTCCAAGAGGCGGTTGAACTTGCCACCCTTGCTGAAAATGATAGTTATGTCTCAGATGCCTTTAATAAGATATTGAAGAGGAAAGCTGTCAACGTTAACGAGTCCAAGAAAATTCGAGTTTCAGAAGAAAATATAAAAACTTTGACCGCATGTGTCATTTGCGGAAAATTCCATCATGGTGAATGTAGGTATGGTAAARGAGTATGTTTTAGTTGTGGGAAACCTGGTCATATGTCAAAGGAATGCAAAACAAGATTTACTTGCTATTCTTGTGGGGCTGTCGGACATCGCTCCAATGAGTGTCCCAAAAAGGATCTTGTGCAACCGAAGTTGCTCGAAGGACCGAACGACAAGAAACCCGAGGTGCCTAAAACTAAAGGACGAGTTTTCCAAATGACTGGTGAAGAGGCACAGATTGCACCATGCGCGGTGTCAGGTACTTTGTTAATTATCAAATACATAAGCATGACTTTACTAGTTTTGTGTTCCAATTAACTCGTCGTATGTCTTAAGTTCAATTGTTTTTAGTTGAATAACCTTGTCACGATTTAAAGATTATCATTGGTGATAAATATACTTTGATTACTAGACATATTATTGACATGTTACCATTCAATGATTGAAAATTTGAGATTCAATTGTTATTATGGACATTAGAGGATTAAACTATAATAAGTGCGAATTGGTCAGGCATGTAAGACTGAAATAAATAGATGATTAGAATAAGAATGAATGACCAAAAGATTCTCTCGTGATGGAAGAAAATCTGAAATAAAGATAAAAATAAGTATGACAAAATTAAGTAGAAATTCCGAGGATGGAATTTTCTTTCAAGGGGGGGAGGGGGAGAGTTGTAAAACCCAATTTTTTTAAATATATAAATAATATTATATGAGTCTTTAAATATTTTTTAAAATTTATTTGAAGTGTTAAAATATTTACGTAATAAACTAAATGAAATAATTGTAGAAATCTTAAATAAATAAATAATGAAAAGAAAGACAAAAAGAAAATAAAATAAAATTGTTTTCTTTTAATTATTGGACAAAAAATGTAAGATATTACGTCAGGAAGGGTCTGATGGTAAATGTCAGAAACTTGAGGGGGCCAAATGTCATCTTTTTCAAAGATGAGGGACTGTTTTGCCAAAAGTACATAACTGCTTGGAGAAAACGATCCATCAGCCAAAAACTCGCGATTTCTTCCGATTTCGTCAACTAATAAGCCAAAACTTTTGCATATAAATATAGAGCACTGCTTAGGATCATTTTGGTTCAAATAGCCAGAAAAATCGTTGAGTTTTGAGAGAAAAATCCGAGTTTGAAGTTCGGAATCAAAAATCTCGGGTTTTCACCGATTTTGGGTGAGATTCTTAACCAAATCTCTTGATTTTTATGTCTATAATTTTGTTTTTAAGTACTCTATCAAACCCCAGTAGCCTCATGTCTCATATTTGTGTTTTCATGGTTCGATTTTTATGTTTTTAAGTTATTAAGTTTTAGTTTTAAAAACAAACTTTAAATGAGTAAATGAAACTCATTTCGTGATAAAAATTCATGTTCTTTATGTCAAAGTGTTGGTAAAAATATTACCAAGAGATTGGTGCAAAAAGAATGAAGAAAAAAGGTTAAGAAACGTACCGGGTCGGCCCGGCCCAGGATTGGCTGAAAACGTACAGAGCATTGGCTGTTGTTTCCTTGTTTTCGTTACTGGGTCACGGACCGGGTCGGCCCAGGATCCGCGTTTGTTTGCCATTTCTAAAAATAAATGGGGAGAAGGAGTTGAGGAAGGGATTCAAACCCGTGTCCTCAACCAGGGAGACTCAAAGCGTTAACCGGCAAGCTAACTATCCATTCTATTATTTTTATTCACTGTTATTGTTAATATACACTATATATTTAAGTTTCAGAAATTAGCATTTATTCCCTTGAATTTAAACCATTTGTAAACTACCATATATTTTTAACACATTCAAAAATTCAATTGAAATACGTCCATTGATTCAACACACAATAGAAAAGATGAATAAAGTCTCATAACAACCAGAATCAATATTCATTTTGCATTAATTGTGTCGCAATTTCTTCTCTTAAACTAGTCATATATGTTTGGTTAGCGGCACTCCCATGCGATTGAATCTCTTCAGCCTCATCCTCGTCATCGTTCCCTTGTTCGTTGGTTTGATCATACTCAGAAAATAGCTCATCACTTAAACCTTCTTTCCGTATGAAGTTGTGAACCGCAAAACATGCAATAACAACGTCTCTTTGAACCTCAAGTGTAAATGGTGCCATTCTTTTCAATATTGGAAAACGTGCTTTCAGGACGCCATAAGARCGTTCAATAACATTTCTAAGTTTTGCATGAGAATGATTAAACTTTTCATACTTGTTCATTGCTCGTCGACGACGAAAATCTCCGAGCCAATATCTAACATTACGATACGGTGCCATAAATCCTCGAGTATTTGTATACGCAGCATCACGTAGGTAATATTTATCTGAAAACAATAAATAAAATGCTTGTTCAAATGAATATAGCAAATATATTACCTGTAAAATCAATAGTATACCTGAAGGAGGAAATGGAAATCCAATATCACCATCTGTTAAAGCTTCAGACAAAATTCTAGAATCATGTGCAATTCCTTCCCATCCGGCAACAACAAATGTAAAAACCATGTTGAAATCACAAATTGCCAGAACATTTTGATAACATTCACCCTTTCCTCGTCCTATATATAAATGTTGCTCTTGAATAAGGACGATAGCATGTATTAAAGTTCCATCCAAGGCGCCAATTGCTCCCTACATTAAAGCTCAGTAGTCAAAATAAATTTAGTAAGGAAAGTTATACAACTATTATTGAATTATTATTTACCTTAAAAATTCGTCGTAACCTTCTATTATTCCCAGGGATGTCTGGATTAGGATTAAATGATGTAGGAACTATGATCTCTTTTGCAAACTCCATCATTTTATCCAACACTTCATGAAAAATTTTATGAATTGTTTGTGTTGAGTGTTGGAACCTGTTTTTCAACACTCTATAACGTTGATTGTGACCTATAATCATCAAGAAGATAGTCATTTTTTCTTCAACCAATATATGTTTGCTATCCGTTAACCAACCTTTTGTTTTAAAGTGATCACATAATCGAATGAAAGCTTCACGGGACATGCGCAACAAGTCAATACATTGTCGATCACTACCTTCAAGTAGCTCATTCGTAAATTGACGTCCAGTCATTGCAAACATATTATCTCTTTTCCTTTTTAAGCGCCTTTGTCGCAAGTAGAACATATATAAAAATACGACGATGAGAACTATAGTGTTGGTATTGTTATTAATGATGATTTGATTATTATCCATGATAAACCTGTTAAAAACATAAATAAAATGTCAAATAGAAGTAAACTTTGATATCAAATGCATTACCAAATAACAACTAGTTCAACATCCAAAACATGTAACCAAATTGTCAAATATCAAACACATAAGCAAATAACATGTTCAAATACAAATCACATAAMRAAGTAACTTGTTCAAATTCCTAAAACTAATCCATRAGCCCCATTCGTCTTGCCGTCCTTGAAATCCATGATGTTAATATATCAGCGTCTAAAGGGATCGACAACCATGTCTCTCTTAACAATGTTGACTGCCCAAAAATGTCAATGGCTGCACCATAAAGAGGACTCCTTTTATCAAGGCAAAGAGTGTCCAACCATTCAAGACAAGCATTTAGGTTTGAGGCTTGTTGTGCAACAAGTGCAATTTGTTGTTCAACAAGTGTGGCTTGTTTTGTAACAAGTGTTTGAAGTGCACCCCTCATTTCTAGAGCCAATTCATCCATGTCGACCTTGGTTTTACTCTTCTTCTTTGGTCTAGATGGAATTGTGCTCGCAATATTGACGGTTGGTCCTTCCTCCTCATCTCCATCCACCTCATTTTCAGTTTCTTGAGTAGTAGGGATATTGGATGTAAATGAYGAAGATGAAATTGTAGTCCTCTCACGKGTTGAACTAGGGGCATARGCACGAGATCYGGTAGCGGAAGTMCCCTCAAACAAAGCTATACACAAATCAKGGTATATCAATGGTGCAGTCTTTAATGTTCGTGCCTTTGGATGTCCCTGCGTCCAAATTATAAKWATTATTATTTATATAAAACTCGTGTTTTTGTCTATAATATCTAAAAAGGTAAAAAAGAATAAAAACTAACCTTAAAGAAATCTTCCCATTCTTGATTAGTTAGGATGAACGTATTCATTTCAAGGGTCATAAATATTCCCTGTTTTATTCCTTAGGTACACCCATCCCGAATACTTTCCCTTCAAATAATCATATTGGTTTTTCAGTTGTTTCTGGGTGAGTTTTACATGGCAAACTTCCTCAAGTTTGGTTGCCACTTTCACCCAAGTCTCCTTGCGAAGACTACCTCCATTTCGACCCACTTTGTGGACCTCTTCTATACAAGTCTCTAGTAATCGTTTGGTAAGTTCGTTTGTCCACTTCACACGCACATTATCATCCATGACTACCAAGCAGAAAAGATAAAAACAAGCATTTAATGACAAGATACCATTTAACCAACTTCAAAGTAATCACAAGCATGATATCAACCMAAAACAAGCCACTAAACATGCAAGAAACAATCAGAAAATTGAAAGAATTACCACAGTTTCAATTTTATTCTAAAAGAACCCATTTGATTTAGATTACAAATACTACATTCAGTGATTAATCATAATCACTGGCTTATAAGCTCCAAAAAGCCAAATAAAACAGGAATATTAGCATCAAAGCAACCAAAATGTTTCAAAATCCAAAAGGGGCAAACAGAAGCAGCATAGTTATGCTCTTCCTTATTCTATCATTCTATCAAGTACATAAATTTTTTACCCCTTTGAAAAATATCCTGCATATGCGGCTAGATATTAGACATCTTCGCTTATACAAGATGGTTGGGTTACTCTTTTCACATAGATTAAAAATAAAGTAAAAGAGTGAAAACATCTAATGAAAAAGCACTGTAGGATGGTAATCATATTTTATGCAGATTATATTTTATAGCAGCAAGTGCAATCACTATTTGATGATAAAATAGAAGCATCTTCTGCTAAAATGTATTTCCATTRCTATGGGCAGCTGCTACATCAGCAAAATATGTTGCAGGATTATGTGAGAACAGGTCAATATACCACTCAACTTTTTCTTTTTTCGCTGATTTGCTAAACTGGCATTGGTATCCAACTATTACTCAATTAAAAGCTGATGAAATGCGCAATTTGATGAAAGAAAATGAAAATTCCGTTGACAAGCTGAGGCTGTTCTGTCTAATCTTGTAAACAGTAAAATCAATTCGGTTCTGCTTAAACCCAAAATTTGGTCTAAACAACTGCAAAAACAAAACACCTGTTTACCTACCTAAAAGGCCAAAACTGGTATACGTCTGCCTCATGTTCTAATTACTTTTAAGTCATTGCAAGCAAACTCCTAGACCATCCACACCATTGACATTAGTAGATGTTAAAGACCTTAACCTGTTCAATCAATAACTTACCTTTGTTTTATCAATTTTCAAATTTGGAAAATCACTTTCTTATACCGGCAGATCACTGAAAAACATAAATTTACCATTTTCCAATTAATATTTTTGAATAATGAGGACATAAAGTATATGTAAATGTAGTTATTTAACAAATTCATGTATGAACAGTTGTCAAGAACTTAAAGCCTCTCGTACATCTACCAATTATTAACAATTATTAGAATTTCAAYGGTATCTTCCAATCAGGTCCAAGGAAAGTGATTGAAATTAATCWAGGGTCCAACATAACAGTAAAGATAATCAAGTGTCCTCAAGTTCACAGCATAACAACACCATAAGAACTAGGATGTCTAATCAAAAGAATTTGGATAAATTCTTGGACAAAATTGTTGTCCTAGACTTAAATGTGTATTTTGGAAAAAAAAAAACACAAATGGTTCTTAAAGATGCATCATGGATTCTTCCCTAAATTCAAAAACAATAGCTTTGGATTCATGTTCAAAGAAGAAGAGGGTCTCTTTGACTCTATCCAACACAAAACAAACCCATGACTCAAATTCATGAAAGAGTACAAGTTATTATTTAATTCACAAACCAAATCTGAAGACAAAAAAGATAGGAGAAACCAACGGTTAGGAAAACTAACGAACATACAAATAGCAAGAATAACAATCAAATATTAATTTGTCATCATCAAAAAGTTTAAGAAGAGCAGGAAGAACATACTAATTGACTAAAATATGAGCATTTACCTCCGAAAATTGAAGTATGAAGTACGGTTGATGCCCCATTTTAGTGGCAGAAAGTTTTACTCAGAGACAAAAGGGAAAACCATAAGAAAGAGGATAATACAGACACCCACGAATTGGATCGTTCGGTTCTTGGATGACAATCCAAAATCTAGTAGAACTGAACAAATCTAATCCATTCCATATGTGTAAAACATGGTTCAGAAGCTTATTGATGGGAATCCTATATTGGGACAAAACATGTTTATGCTGTGGAAGCATCTGAAATGGCTGACTATGCTCAGAAGCTTATTGCTGGGAATCCTATATTGGGACAAAGAATACAGTTTGTGCCATTTCTTAGTACAAGGCAATCTACATGTAATGCTCTATGTCTTATCCTGGGGGACCCTGTCATTAAAGTGCAGGTTATCAAGGGCAAAGTTGAAGATGTAGAATTGCCAGAGAAAGCCGATATATTGATCTCAGAGCCTATGGGTAAGTTCATTATGTCATGTGTCTATTATCATTGTTAATGCTGAACTGATTACATGGTCCATGAGAGAAAAATAGCAACATACAAACACATACAAAACCCCTTATAGGATTTCAACCGTGGGGTTCACATACAAAAACCCYTTATAGGAGGTAAACCCTAAACCATTTTTTGAACCAGGCAAAACAGAAACCAAGCAAGGAGAAAGAAAATCGAGAGATTGAGAGCTTGAGAGATCGAGATGGATACCTTAAATCGAGCGATGAAGAGGTACAAGACGGTAGGCGAGAGATTGAGAGAGAGATCGAGAGGTAGAAGACGGTCGGCGAGAGCTTGAGAGAGAGAGAGATCGAGAGGTAGAAGACACAGCAATGGAGAGGTTAGGGTCGGCGAGAGCTTGAGAGGGTAGCGACACAATAATAAGATCTTTTAAGTGAAAATGTTAGCTCTAAACAATTCAGACATAATCAGATCTTTTAAGTTCTTAATTGGAAAAAAAACAAACGCACTTAATACCCTAAGGTCTGACCGATTCAGACATAAGAGGGTATTAAGTGATTTTTTTGTAAAAACAAACAGGGCCTAAGGGTGTGTTTACTTGAGGCTTAATGAGCTTAATCAGTAAATGGGCTTATTCGTACAGCCAAAATGATGTGTTTACTTTGGGCTTATTCGCACAGAAAGGGGCTTATTCGCACAGATCAAAAACAACGCTTGTCCCCATTAAGCCCAAAAAAAGACCCTCATACCCTTGGCCATGAACCCTAGCGTATCTTCTTCCTCAAAACACTCCCTCCCTATCAACGATYGTGAACCCTAGGTATCTTCTTCCTCGGCCATGAACCCTAGCGTATCTTCAAATCGATTGTTGTTGGGTACCATCTGCTTGCTTCAATCGACGCCCTCTTCTCCTCCAAAGAACCCTAATCGGCCCGATTGCTCTCTTCTTCTCCATGACAGTCGATGCTCTCTTCTTCTCTATCGACAAATCGACTTCAAGTTCCATATCGATTTCATGAGTTTGTTCGATTTCATGTTTGCTCGATTTCTGTTTGCTCGATTTATGTTTGCTTGCTTGTGTTCGATTTCATGCTTGTTGGATTTCTGTTTGCTCGATTTCTGTTTGATGGTTCGATTTCTGTTTGTTTGCTTGTGTTTGNTGTTTGCTTGCTTGTGTTCGATTTCATGCTTGTTGGATTTCTGTTTGCTCGATTTCTGTTTGATGGTTCGATTTCTGTTTGTTTGCTTGTGTTTGATTTTTGTTTGCTTGCTTGTGTTCGATTTCATGCTTGTTGGATTTCTGTTTGCTCGATTTCTGTTTGATGGTTCGATTTCTGTTTGCTTGCTTGTGTTCGATTTCATGCTTGTGTTCGATTTCTGTTTGCTCGATTTTTGTAATTGATACATTGTTACAGATATTGATGGTTATGATTTCTTCCCTTCCATTCTTCACTCTGTTAAAATCAAACATA